ATTCCAATTACGATGCTCTTGACAAAATTTTCTACGATTTCCTCGATGAGCTGGAGTTAATTTAGGGGCTCTAGCAGGTCGTCTTGCATTGAGTTGTACTTCGTGAAGTCGGTTTCGTATCGTTTGGTTCGAAATTCGCGGTCCCGTAGCTTCTATAATATATAAGGCGATTTTGCAGTGTTCTAGCAGAATCGGTGGGACTCCCAATTGCTCAAAGTCGTAACAAACGATCTTCTCTGCGGGTTGTTGCCCTTTGTCGATTGGGATAAGGGGCTCTTTTTACTATGCCGTAAATTTGGTAGCGATTCCAAGCTCTGGAAACCGCAGAATGACTCACATTAGGCATTTGGGCTACAAGACGCCTTGAATACCCTACTTCGATCAATGCCACTGCTCTAGCAACTTGAAATTCGTTGAGGTACACCCTGCATATCCTCCTTCTACAAAATACATCAACATTCATTGTTTAAATTTTAAAATTCAATACCAATCACGAACTAAAGTAAAGTGAAACTAAATACAGAATTTTTCATATTAGTGATTCTGTAGCTAAAAGTACAAAAAGAAGTAAAAAAAGCGAATATGATAAGAATTAGTATGGAGTACACACCAGAAGTTTTTATCATGAAATAATACATATTGTTTACTTATTGGATTTTAAAGATGTGTCTATATATTCATTTTGAGTAGTTTATTTCAATAGCACAAAACATAATTTCAAAGTTGTGCTTGATTATTTGTGTAGGAGTATTTCTGAAATTCAACCGTTGACGATCTAAAAAAATCACCCACCACGACGGGGTAGTTTCTTCACCCATTTTTTACCAGTGACAAGCATCTACCAGCATAGAAAAACATTCTGCAAGTTCATCAACATTGTGCAAATTTATCAGCGACCACTCCAATAATTTAATCAACAAATCTAGTCTCATCAAAGAACACCTCTCAATCCAATGAAAGAAACGATACCTAGCGAATAATTAAATGCGAGCTACTCCAATTAAGAAGTTATGCCAAGAATCCGTGTTTCTTAATAACAAATTTAATTATACTTCGTGGGAAAATCTCTCGAGCATCTGAGTACTGGCTAATTTCATTTCTGCTGTGAAAAAAACGGAATAGCCTGGGAAGGAAGAAATAGATGAGCTGTTTGTTCCAGTCGTTTGGAGAAAATAGATTATATCACCATCGCGTTGCTGCAGCTCGAAATACACTCTGTCTAGCAGTATTTCGTTTCTGTAAACAAAGTGACAGGGTATGATAACTAAGAATTATGGTTCCTCGACATCCACGAAGTTTTTGATAACCTTTTTCATGTGAGAGCATTGACTAGTAGCTGAGTACAAGAAAAATTAAGCGATATATTTGCTTTTAGTTCTACTAGATAGCAGATAACAATTTCAAATTGAGGATAATCATGAGAACGTTCACCAAACAGTTCATAACATGAATTGAAATAGATTATAGATAATTAAAAATGAGCGATACTTCCTCTAGTGACGATGTTGTAAAGTCGGCTTTCGCGGCCGGGGTCCCTATTTTCATTCGGGTTTGGGTTTTGGAATTTCTTTCTACGATGACTATAAACTCAAGATATATGAACATCTGAAAGAGAAAGCTACTGGCCCCAGCGCAGCGAAACGTCAGGAAAAAATTCCAGAAATCGACGGCCTTCAAACCTGAATAAAAATAGGGACACTCGATATTGTTTATCGTAGTAGTCATTAATGGGCGTTCATTTTTTTTAAACCGCATTAGCTGTAGCTATAAGCGGCAAACATATAAAATATATATGAAATATGCAGTTGTTTACATTAAAGTTTGAATAATTTGTTACATTCTTCAAGAAATTCAATATTGTTCCTAATATCTGAGGAAATTTTATAGTTCAGTCTCTCGACTGTGAAGAGCGGGCACTCTACCAGAACATGCTTAACAGTCACAAGCACGTCATACGCGGTTTAGTCTAATCAACAAGTTCAAAAACATGAAAAATAGAGATAAAGGTCCTAAAAATATAAGCGATAGCTCATTCGATTCGGAATCACCTCTAAAAAAATGTTTTTTCGAGGATTTTGGTGCAGGTAAGAAATTGCAATTGTTATTA